TTTCCCGGGAGCGGCGTGATGCTGGGGGTGGGCGGAAGCGTCTCTTGCAGCGCGGGGTCGGTGTTTCCTGCCTGGGGGGCCGTTCCCTCCTGGCCGTTGCCGCGGCTTTGACTCCGCAGGGCGCCTCCGAGACCCGCCCCGTCGCGCACCGCGCGCGCCCGATCACCTGGGCTGGCGGGCGGCGCTCTCTGGCGCCGCGTGCGGCCGCGCTGGCCGGTGGAGCTGGCTGCCGTCGAGGTCGCAGCCGCGTGCGTCTGCCTGCATTCGCTTGCCCGGGAGCGGCGTGATGCTGGGGGTCATAACATGCCTCCCTATGTGTTTATTTGGAACATAACATGCTGCCATCATTTATCTTTTATTTATTTATTTAAAACTTTTCTACCCTGTCCACCACTGACGTCTTGGAGCAGCTTACAATAAAGAACAAATAAAATAAAATAAAATAAATACACTAATCAAAATAAACACAGAGTCCAGCAAGCCAAGATTAAATCCCAGTTGAAACCAATGAAACATTAAAATAGGGGGGAAATGAAAAGGTTTTTGCCTGATGCTGAAAAGATTATAACGTCAGCACCAGGCAAACCTCTCTGGGGAGCATATTCCATAGTTAGAGTGCCACTGCAGAGAAGACCCTCCTCCACATAGCCACCCTCCCGATCGCCTTCAAGGAGGGCTCCCGGAGCAGGACCTCTGCCTCAGATCTCAAGGGGCGGATGGTTACATGGGGAGAAGCTCCTCCTTCAGGTATCCCGGACCCAACCCAAATAGCACCTTTAATTGGTCCCGGACTTCAGTTGGCAGCCAGTGCAACCAATAGAGGACTGGTGTTATGTGTGAAAACCTGTGGCTTCCCATTAACATCCTGGCAACTCTATTCTGAACCAACTGAAGTATCTGGACAATCTTCAAGGGCAGCCCCATGTGGAGTGTGTTACAGTAGTCCAACCAGGAAGTTACCAGAGCATAGGTCACTGTTGCTAGGCAGTGCTCATCCAAGTAAGGGCGCAGTTGATGGGTCAGCCAAAGCTGAAAGAAAGCGCTCCTCGCCACTGCTGCCATCTGAGACTCCAGGGACAGCTCTGGATCGAGGAGCACTCCCAAACTGTTCACCCTGTCCTTTGGGGGAGTGCAGCCCTGTCCAGGACAGGGTTAAAATCACTTACCCAGAAGGCTGAATCACTCACAAATAGGACCTCCATCTTGTCTGGTTTAAGCCTCAGTTTATTGGCCCATAACGCCAGTCAGGCACTGGTTAAGGACAGTCGCTGCCTCACCTGGACTAGATGCAAAAGAGGTAGAGCTGAGTGTCATCAGCGTACTGTGACTCTGCAGCCCACACCTCCTGATGATCTCTCCCAGCGGTTTCATGTAGATGTTAAAGAGCAGGGGGGATAAAATTGAGCCCTGCAGAACTCCATGGCAAAGCTGCCTTGGCACAGAACCATAATCCCCCAGCACCACCTTCTGGAATTGGCCAGACCGGTAGAAGTGGTACCACCACAAAGCAGTACCTCCAACTCCCAACCTGGACCGCCTATCCAGAAGGATACCATGGTCGATGGTATCGAAAGCCACTGAGAGGTCCAGGAGAACCAGCAGGGATGCACTCCCACTGTCCCTCTCCATGCACAGGTCGTCATACAGGGCGACCAAGGCAGTTTCAGTTCCATAGCCAGGCCTGAAACCAGATTGAAATGGGTCTAGATGGTCAGCTTCCTCCAAGAGCTCCTGGAGTTGTCCCGCCACCACCCGCTCGACCACCTTGCCCAAAAACGGGATAATAGCCACTGGCCTATAGTTGGCAGCTAACTCTGGGTCCAGAGTCGCCATCTTCAGGACAGGCCCGATCACCACCTCCTTCAAAGGAGCAGGGACGTGGCCCTCCCTCAGAGAGGCATTGACGACCTCCAGGACCCAGGTACATATCCCGTCTTTGGCTTTGATGAGCAGCCATGAAGGACAAGGACTGAGCAAACCAGCGGCAGGTCGGAGCAATCCACGCACCTTGTTCACATCCTCAGGCTGCACCGGTCGACACTCATCCTGTAAAGGTGGATGAGACGGCAGTCTGGATGCTATTAAAAGGATGGTGCAGAAACTCCAGCAAAGGCAACCGAAATATCCATATGTTAGTCCATTTGTTGTGTAAGACCAAAGGACACCTATTCCAAAATTGAGAGTTTCGTTGACTCCTCCACCCATGGTGTTATATGGATAGCCTGTATGAGTCGGGTTGAACTTTGAAGAGGCTGCGTGGGGGATTTCTGGAAACGCGTGTTGCAGAATGCAAGAGCATCCACTAAGGGAAGGCAGCAGAAGGGAGGAGAACAAGGGCATGCAAACAAGCGTGAGGGGAGTCCAGCTGTGCAGTGTGGCCCTTCCGCAGTGCTTGCATGCACTGCCTTGTCTCTTCAGTCCTAAGTCTATCCATACTGAGCAGGAAGGTCCAAAAGGAACTTCTACTCCAGTTTACTTGGACTCAGGAGCACTCAAACCTGTGTGATCACAGGCTGCCCAAACTGGTACACATGCCCATGGAATGCAAGTAGAATCTCTCTCCAGAACCTGCTCTTCAACCCAACACAATATGGACTAGAGACATGAGGTTGGGATCAACCTGTGTGGTCCTGTCCATTTGTACACCCTTTTCCGACATGATGGCTTAACGAGGCTGGTACATGCATCGATTCCTAATCAACAATCACAGCTTGAAAAGTACCATTAAATCCAGATGTGCTGTTACTTTCTGAAGCAGGGCTGAGCTACCCAGGTTCCTCTGGCTGGTTTGGACTCCTGTAACTGCTCCGCATTAGCATTGCCAGCTGAGACTGCTGGGCATTGAAGCTTGTTCTAAATTCTGTTACGGCTTCATTATGTGCCTGTTTTTAAGAAAGAAACACGAGCTAGCCCTCTCCTACTCAGGACTGCTATATTACTGACACGGAAGTGATTAAGTCGCCATACCTGCCATGACAAAAAGTGCTAGCCTGCACTTTATTAAGTCATTTTGTTCTACATGTACTTAAGATCAGCTCTTTGAAAGGTTGCATATGCATAAGCCAGTGAGGAATATCACCCTGAATCTCATCCGCTCTTTAAGGAGTCAGAGTCCTTTGATATACAATTTCAACCCACCCAAAATATGTGTAAAAAGTGTTTTCCTAAGCATTTAGGTACGGTGATCAAGAACTTAATAGGCTGGAAATTATCACCTCTTCAACGTTGAAAGGTTTTTTCCCCCTCAAATGGAAATATAGGAAAGAATCAGCAATCCCTTAAGTATTCCAAGTAACAAACTTTAGTTGAACTTGCAGTTTATAAGTTGCTATGAGTTCCTCTGCTATCAAGGGTAGGAAGATGGTGATACATTTAGGACAGCAGACTTTAGCAAAGGTTATATTGCTACTTTGTTTTACCATGTTTATACTATTCTGTGTTTTACATATGTGACCTTGATTTATCGGGAGAGATTGAGAGAGAGAGAGAGATTGAGAGAGAGAGAGAGAGAGAGAGAGAGACAGAGAGAGAATTCAATTTTCCTGTTTGTCACTTGTCTCCTTGTTTTTAATTCATTTTGATTTTCATTTTAACTATGGGGTCAGGAAACTAACTTGTTTTAACAAGTCATTTTGACGTGTTTTCATTTTTAACTTGCTATGTTGATGCACATTGGCTTATGCTGGTCTACGTCCATAATAAAATTGATTGATCACTGTGACTACCCTTCAGCCTTATCAGAACCAGGATTCAACCTGTCATGTGTCACCCACATTTAACTGCTGACTGTATCACCAGGTCTGAATGCTTCACTGCAGCTTATTGTGGGGTTATTGAACCAGGGATGAGTTGTGGTACCTGCAAATGTCAGGTTGCATAGATGAACCCCGCTCAGGAACTGTCATATACCAACCCAGCATACCTGAAGCTGTTCCTACCAATGACCCTAAAATATACCATGGGTTGTTTAACCCTTCTACCACCCACACCTACCAGGTTTGCACAATCTCAGGTGGGGCTTGCAGATTCAAAATGGCAGCCACACACACCGTAGCCTCACCTGTTGTGGATGGGCTGTTGTGTCATGTGATTAGCCTGTGTATCTTTCTCCCTCTCTCTCTCCTCTTGCTGCCCTCCTCTGTTCCCTTGATTCAGTTGGTCTATCTTGGTTTTCTCCTTTCTTAGAAAACATTATGAGGACGCTATTGATGGGATCAACGTCAAGTTGAGGTGCTGCCCTGTTAGGTATCTTGACTCCTCCAGTTGAGGACCATAGACTGGATCAGTCTTCTCTGCCCATTGGCCATATCGGCTACAAGTTGTTTAAATTACCTGGTAGACACCAGGTTGCCTGACATGGCCAGTGCATTAAGCATTCAGATGATATTCAAAATGCGCCTCACTCACGCTTACCAAGAATCATCCATCAGGAGAAAAGCAAAAGGTTGGGCTTGGAGTTTGTATGGCTTGAATGTGTCTTTAATTTTGAACAGGAGCTTTAGTTAATTCATAGGAAAGACCTTGTTGAGGACCATATGGCAATTAGTTAGAAAAGGAAAAGAGATCGCAATTTAATTAATATTCTAATCCCAACGTTAACAATCTTCCTGCCAAGTCAGCAAGGCTGCTTGTTCTGTTTGCAATCCTTGCGATTCATCCAGGGTGACACTCATCAGCTACCTCCAGAAAAGAAACCCACTTGTAAATTTAGCACAAAAATTAGCGAGCATCAATATGTCATAGAAAAGTTTTAATCGGGGCTGTCAGCTAGCAGTTTTTCTGTCGACAAACACAAAGGGACCTTTCTCGCAACGTAATTTACTCAATCTTGGCTGGCATGAAATGCGCCTTACCAAGTCGCTGAGTGACCTGAGGCGTAGCAATAGGATCAACCTGCGTGTTGTCGCTTTTTACTGTCTTGCAGGTAGATTGTGTCTCCGGGAGGTGACTCGTCCCCCACCCACCCAACCGCCCACCCACGCCTCCTCCACCCATGACAGCCATGAGAGTTTTGCTGCTTTTGGCCCGTGTGGTGCTGTTGGCTGCCTGCCACTGCCAAGCCGTCAGCTTTCCCGAAGATGATGACCCGATTAATGTTGTCGACTATCACTGTAAGTCATCAGCAAACCAAGCATGCTGCTTAATTGTGCCTTATTTTATTGTCAGGCCAAAGTAAGCATTCCTTTTGGAATTCACCAGGTTCATTTACTTGTCTTTTGGCTTTAAACAGAACACTTAATTGTTACTTTTTAAATTACAATCAAATTCGAATCAAAAAGGGTACAATACTTCCATTTCTTTGGGGGTCTGTCTTTTCTCAATGTGCTTGCTGATGCTGGCCATCTTTTATTCATTTGCATTCAAGGCATAATGCAAGGAGTTTAGTTTAAGCCCCTCTGCTCCCAATATATACAGCTAATCAATGCTGCCTATTGATTCCTTAGCTCTGTAATCCTGAGTGATGGCAACCCATTTTCACTTGCAGATTCAAGGCAATATCCGGTATTTAGAGGACGCCCTTCATGCAATGAATCCCAACACAGGCTGGACTTTCAACTGATGCTGAAAATTCGAGACACACTTTATATTGCTGGCAGGTAATTTTCCTGCAGTCAGTTGATTAAATTAAAATTCCCTCCTTCCTTCATTCCCTCACACCAGCACACATGCTGTCCCTCGCGTTTGCATTTTATCTGTGCACCTTGCTTAAATATAATCCATAGCATGGGGCTGGGAAGCATTGGAAGGGAGGAACTAAGTATCTTCCGTAAATTGAGCTCTGCTGGATCAGGACAAAGCTCCGTCTTGCTCAGCACAGGAAGAAGGCGCAAAGGTGCCTGTATGAAGCGCAGAGATAAATTGCTAGGGCTGTTTCTTATTTATTTGTTTTAACTTCGGTACCACCCAATAGCCAAAGCTCTCCGCATAGTTTTGTAACACTTTCGTATGATCATCCAGACTTGGTAAGTGAGTGAGGCTTTTTGATGTGTCTTATTCACTTTTTTTAATATATAGGGATCAAGTTTATACTGTAAATTTGAATGACGTTCCAAAGGGAGAAGTTGTTCCAAGCAAGGTAAGCAGGTACACACACACACGTTTTTAAAAATGATTTTAATATTGAAATCATTCTTGAAGAAAGACTCAATATTCATTTTTCTTTGTTCTGTCGCAACAGAAATTAACGTGGCGTTCAAAGCAACAGGATAGAGAGAACTGTGCCATGAAGGGAAAGCACAAAGTAGGTTTGTCCTTTGTTAAAAGGATGACAAGCATACAATATTTAAATCATTGTTAGCTTACAAATGCTATGCTTGTGACCAGTTTGGAACTGATCATGAGTTACTTTATTCATGCAAGAGTAAGTTTTTCAGGTCACGGGGTGGGGGATGCTTCAGTTTCCATTTCAGATTTTTTTTTATAGATGGTGGACCATCCAAAGGACTCCAAATTTACAAGAAATCCTAATGAATTACATTTGTTAGGTTTATAGCAGCCTTCCCCAACCTGATGCCCTCCAACTGACTACAACTCCCATCAGTCAACAGGGCAAATGGTCAAGAAGGCTGCAGCTTGCGGTCCAAAGCAGGTTGGAGGAGGCTGGTGCACAGAAAGCTGGAGCTATTTGTCATCTGCTGAAGAGTGTCAAGACTTTATTTCCATTTATTTATTTTATTGATATCCGTCCTTGGCTTCCGCAAGGACCCAGGTGGCCAACAAAATCTTCCTTTCTACTTTATTCTCATACCATCCTGCAGGGGAGATTATTTTTATTTTTTTGATTTTTTTGATTTATATCCTGCCTTTTTCCTACAAAGGGCTCAAGGCAGCTTACATTATCTCTCCTCCTCCATCTTATCCCCAGAACAACAACCCTGTGGGGTAGGTTGGGCTGAGAGACTGTGACTGGCCCAAAGTCACCCAGTTGGCTCCATGGCCGAGCGGGGACTCGAACCCAGATCCTCTGAGTCCCAGTCCCATGCTCTTAACCACTACACCACACTGGAGATGAGGCTGCCCAGTTGCCCGGGGAACTCCATGCTCTAGTGGGGAGCAGAACTCGGGGGTTCCAGTCCCCCAGTCTGATGCTCTAACCACTGGCTCCTGTATAAGTTAGTTCATCCCTCTTTTTGTGTTCTTCCATTTAGTTTTTCTTTCATACTGTTGATATTTTGTCATCTCAATTTTCTACACCTCTGAGTGAATGCTCATAGTTTCTCTCTATTTGTCTTCCATTTTTAGGATGAATGCCATAATTTTATTAAAGTCTTTGTCCCCAGGAATGATGAGATGGTCTTTGTCTGTGGAACTAACGCATTTAACCCCATGTGCCGCTATTATCGGGTAAGGAGCAATGCCTGATAGAATATGAGCAATCCTTGAGCAGAAACGGTCTTCTCTGCCCGTGTGGGTTTACCTCACGTACCAATGACTACCATGTTTATCCCACAATTCCTCACAAGGAATCAGGAGGGTGTACGTGTTTGTCTTCCCTTCCCCTTTACCCTCGCAACAATCTTGTGAGGTAGGTTAGGCTCAGAGAGATGGACAGCCCAAATCCATGCAGTCACTTTCATGTCTGAACAGGGATTTGAACCTATAGCCCCTTTGTCCTAGTCCAGAACACTAACCGCTACACTGCACTGCTTCTCTTCCATGAGCAATTGTTTGCCACATCCTATTGAGCTGTCTGGACTTGATGTGAACCGGACAGGGCATCAGCATGTGGGGCCAGTGCTAACTTGCTTCCTGCCCCTGGCTGTCCATGATGGCAGCCAGATTAGGGCTGATCAGGTGGCCCCCCATGGCCTTCCCATGATGGAGGCTCCAAAAGAGCAACCCTACTGGACCAGATGCAAAGCCTGTCTCAGCCAGCAGCTTGTTTCCCAGAGTAGCTAGCCAGGAGTCCATGGGAATCCCACAAGTACATCCTGGGAAAAGCGTCCTCTCCACCGTGGTTCCTCCCCATGTTGATAATTCAGAGCGCATAACCATCAATTGGACATAAAAAGTTGTCCTCCTTTGCAAAGCTCCTTTAGGAGCAGTTCTCAGAGCATGACACGGGCGATTAGACCAAGTCTGACAGCCTGAATGATGGAGTATGCAAAACAGCCCCGCGCCTCCATCACACCATCCTGCAGAGCTTGAAGGGACGCCCCCAAACCGTTTATCTTCCTTCTCCAGTTGAGTACCTTGGAGTATGACGGTGAAGAAATCAGTGGCTTGGCAAGGTGCCCTTTCGATGCCAAACAAACCAACGTTGCCCTCTTTGCTGGTAAGAACATTGTGTCTAATGAATCCTGATGCTACATTATATAGACAGTGCAGGAGGAAGGGAAATTTTCCAGAAAGATGCATCACATCAAAGGAACTGCATCATATCAATGTGAAAGTGCCTAATGCATCTGTTTTGGAATTAGAAACCATGTTACATTAAAGCAGGAAGATCTAGCTGGCAACATCCCTCCTCCACTGAGTTGTGCCCCAAAATATTTTTTCCCAGAGCCCTGCTTTGATTATGCTCTGTTTCTGGTTTCATTATTGCTACTAGCTAAAGCATTGTTACCACTATTACTACGACTTCCATCAGATCAGTCTAACCAATTAATTGACTGAACGTTGCAAAAACAAGAAGCACTGAGTTTCCATACATGATCCATACAGACCTTCCCACATTGCTTTTCATGTTGCCTGTTTTGGAAAGCCAAAGGGCCTCTGCAGATCCCTATTTAGGTGGGATCTTCTAGGAAGCGCATTTTGGTCCATGCGCACACCAAGCCAATGACCTCAAGCTATCCAAGCTCATGTGCTTCCTACCTGTGAAGCCTGGGCAGCACCAAGTTTTATAGAGAGCCGGAGCGTCTGTAAAGGAGCCCACATTTTGGTCCCCGGACCAAACATCTGCATCACCTCGTGGCCCCAGGAATGCTGAGTTGACCATCCTTGTGTAGGAGGAATGTTTGGGAGAAAGGATATGAGAAAAAGACAATTGTGACAGAGTATCAGATTTCTGCCTAATTGTTGTTGTTAGTCACGAAGTCGTGTCTGACCCATCGTGACCCCATGAACAACATTCCTCCAGGCCTTCCTGTCCTTCACCATCCCCCGGAGTCCACCGACTGCTTCAGTGACTCCATCCAGCCACCTCATCCTCTGCCGCCCCCTTTTTCTTTTGCCATCTATTGTTCCCAGCATTAGGCTCTTCTCCAGGGAGTCCTTCCTTCTCATTAGGTGGCCAAAGTATTTGAGCTTCATCTTCAGTATCTGGCCTTCTAAAGAGCAGTCAGGGTTGATCTCCGCTAGGAAAGACTGGTTTGATCGCCTTGCGGTCCAAGGGACTCGCAGGCGTCTCCCCCAGCACCACAATTCAAAGGCCTCAGTTCTTTGGCGCTCAGCCTTCCTTATGGTCCTGCTTTCACTGCCATACATTGCAACTGGGAAAACCATAGCCTTGACTATACGCGCTTTTGTCGGCAGGGTGATACTGTCTCTTAATCTCCCTGTATGTGCTGCTGTTCTAGATGGCAAATTGTATTCCGCAACGGTGGCGGATTTCCTGGCCAGCGATGCGGTTATTTACCGAAGCATGGGAGATGGATCAGCTCTGAGAACCATAAAGTACGATTCCAAGTGGATAAAAGGTACTTTTAGTAAGATACTTACAACAAATACATGCAATGCCACTGGGAGCTGCTAACAGGATCCTCTGTGAATCTAGGTATGTCTTAGGCTGGAGGGGAATTGTCCTGTTCCCACGAGCCCATCATTCCCTATTGGTTCAGTTTCCTGGTCACAATCCTCTTTGTCGATGTGCCGATTTCCTCAACAATTGACTCATTGTTTCCAAGTATTTGAGGCTAGAGGCACACCTTTTAAAAGTAATTAAAATTAAAGGTACACACAATACCATAAAATCCCAAATTAGTACTGTTGTGTTATCTTAACTATTTGGTTAAAGGTCATGGTCTTGATATGTAGCTGCTCACAGCAGCTGAAATGTTTAGAGCCGCGACCTGGAAGAAAGGTCCACTCCAACATTACTCGAATGGAATGGTAGAAGATAGAATATATCAATTTTATCACAAATTAACTTATTACATAAAATCAAGGGATAAGCACCTACATTTATTTTAAAAATGGGCTCTATTTGCAATGTTCTGGAACAGATCACCAAAGCAAAATACAATATGCTATAGAAAGGAGTATTTTATTGCAAAGACTATTACTGTTCCAATGTGTTGTGGACCTCATAGAGGTCCTTCTTCAGGGAAATACACAGAACAATATAAATGCAACTTATGCTTTAAGATTTAAACATGCCCATGTGTTGTATGAGTTCAAACAAAATAGCTTTTGGAAGAAAATCCTGTGGCTACCCCATTGCTTTTGGGGATTTCCTATTTTTGTTGAATAATAGCAAATATTCTGGAACAGCGAAAATCACAAAAATACATATTTTCTTTACTTGATTGTATAGTTGTGTGTGTGTGAAATATCATTTTATATGTATATAAAATGTGTGTGTGTGTTATATGAACATAGCATATTTTCTGTATCAAAATACAATTGGAGGCACACTTCATTTACACCTGAAAAAGTTTTGAGCTTTTTTTCTGTTATTGTTTTTACAGTGGCCTGTTTTATACATAACAATAAGCAATTTTTACTGTTCCATGTTCAAGTTTCATGCTCACATGTGCTCTCTCATCCTCCTTCCTCTTCTGACAAGGCAACAGGAGTTCAAAAGACTATATTAACTGCCTTTTAATATGGCATCAAAGCTCCAAACTGTGGTTAATCTTAACTATTTTTAAGAAGCAAGTCAGTTTCATAAACTATGGTTTGACATTTCAACATTTCAACTAACTGTAGATAAGATGAACCTCGGTTTGAACCTTAGATTCAGCCTCAGCTTCAGACATAATGTTCAACTATAATTAGTCTAAAATCAAAGGGAAGGCTGCCAGACATCCAAGGGAAGCTGATATGTGGCAATTCCTAAAAATGGCTCTTTGGATAATAGAGGAGGTTCTCCACCTCGCTTCCCCTCCTTCTGACATCCTGCTTCCCTGGCTTTGAGGATCCAGTGCTTCAGCGGGAATGTTTAAGGGCCAGCTTTGTAGCTGTGGACTTGCATTCTTCTTTCAGCTATCAGTAATTCAGCGGCACACAACCCAAGCGCAGAACTCCAGCCTTTGTCTTCATTCCACAAAAGATTTGGCCCCAGAATGAAACTTTTCTCCATCTCCACCCAATCAAATAGGTTAATGAATGAAGCTGTAGCAACAAAGACCCGGGCTTTAATACAATTCCTCTGAGGCCTTTTTACAGTCCATTAGCGGATATTAGACATCTACACATTCACTGCAGCTCAACTTCCTCTGTAGTTGGATGTCCTACAGTGCCTGAAATGCAGCAAGTTCGCTTTGAATCTCCGTGTAGCTGCAGCAGAGCTTTTGGCGTCTCGCTCCTGCCAATCCACCTAGAAGCAGCAACAGTTTCCTGTCTTACACGTCGGTAAAGATTGTGCCAGCTGTAACCCAAAGACACTCGTAGCGGCAGGCCCGTAACTTGCTGCACAACTTGTGAGAAGCGCAACGAGCTGGCCACCCGCTGTTCTGAGCCCTTCGTGTAAATCTTACACATTTGTTTGGATCTAGTGGGCTATGTCGTTGTGATGTCTTGGCTTGATTGGGGTTGTACCCAGCATTTCGGCCAAGAAGGATGGTACTCCAGCTTACAGGCATGGATAATACTTGATTACTGGTGCAGCCCTGTGGTTTGCACCCTCAGTAGTCATATGCCCTGAAATGGGAGGTTTAAACACATCCAAGACAGAGTGCAGGAAATGGCAGAGGCAAACTCTTGCTCCCAGCACTTCCTGCTCTGCACTTCAATTAGATGACCATTTTCAGGCATTGAACTGAGACGCTCGAAAGGGCAGGGAAGGATGCTGGTGCACCATATACGTAGCCTCCCCTGCCCCATCCCACTCCTTGCCTTTACTGCCTCTCCGAGGTTGGAGAGGTGACTTCAGAGAGGCAGCAGGCACAGTTATTTCCCTGCCAGCTGTGAGGGAGCAGAACATGGACAGCCTGCCCTAAGGGCAGAGTTCTGCCTCTAACTTAAGATCTAGGAATCCAAATTATCCTATGGCCCCTCAGTTCCTGTCTAGCAGTCACAGGACCACTCACTAAAAACAATAATACAAGACATGAGTGTTGAGCTGGGGCCTGGGAGAAAGGAATGATCTACGGTCAACAGTGTCCCAAGATCATGCATCTGATCTAAACATTCTCTGCACAAAAAATGATAATCTGCAGCATACTTATTTTAATGATAGAATTGATAAGTTTGCATCCAACGAAGCTTGAAAGAAACTGCTCTGACTTTATATACAGTGTAATGTTATCACATAGCTATGGTTCCCCTGTGTGAACGTCTTCATTAATTCCATACTTTTGTAAATGTATTAAAGGTTATAAATTTATAAACAATCTTTTTATCAGTGCTAAATTATCAGCAATGTTCTGCTTTCATTGAGTAGAGAAAGGAGAGAACAAGTTTGTGTTTCTCATCAGCACATGCTCTTAAGTTTGGGTCTCCCAAGGTTTGCTAGCTGAGAGCCTCCAGTTGCTTTAATCAGGGACTGTCTACACTGGCTAGTTTGAAGATAGGGGACCTTTTCCAGCAATACCTAAAGATGGCAGCGATTGAACCAGGAACGTGTCCATGCAAGTGCCCTGCAAGAGAGCCAGGATCCTTCCCCTTGAACTGCACAAAGCAGCTTGGGTTCTTCGTGGCCTGTTTTGGTGCTGTGTTGTGCTCGTTTCCGGCAGAGCAAGTCTGAAGCTCTGTGATACGCCCGGGGCAGGCAACACCAGCAGAAACCAGAAGAGCCAAGTAGCAGTACTTGGCTCTGCTACCCTTGTTGCAGTCATGTTGTTGTTGTTTTAAAGTATGGGCTGATTTGCGCCCCGTTCCTGCACGGGCTCCAAGGAGTCTCCAGGCCAGGAGTACGGCCTGGTTCGTGCCTGCCTCCCTTCAGCAGCGCCGCATCCTCAGGCGCTTTGAATCCCACACGCTGTGGGCTGCTGCTTCCAGCCAAGCCATGTGACACCTTTTTCTTCTGCCCTAGGAGAAAAATGACTCACTTCCTCTTCCTTGCATCTTTCAGAGCCCCACTTCCTCCATGCCATTGAGTACGGGAACTTTGTTTATTTCTTCTTTCGAGAGATTGCTGTGGAACATAATAATTTAGGCAAGGTAAGAGTAAATACAGCTGTTTGTTATGATAAGCGACAAAGTCTCTGGATAATTTGTAGAGGACTAAAAATATGCTTGCTGTGGAGTGGCTGACCCCATTTCCTTTCTACAAGGGCTGTTAAAAACAGGGAGAGATCCTATGTTCATACTTCCAATTGCAGGAGGATGTTGTGGTTGTTGGCGATGGTTGCTTTTCCCAGTTTGCTGCCCTGTTTTCAGGAGCAGAACCTGACATTATGTTGTTGAGAGCAGAACTCAAACACTACAATACTTACAGCTGAAACTCCCAAGGGACACCTGGATTAACATGGAGCACAATTGCTTTGATATTTCACCTTTGAAATCCCCTTTTAAGTGAACCTGCTGTTTGCTTTAGTGGGACTCACTTGGGAGGACTGAAGGGATGGTGTCTTATGAGTCAGATAGCTCTGACTCGTGGCTCGCAGTGCTGAATGGTACCCAGCATCTCTCTGGAGGTGGCCGCCTGCTCCTGCCTCATGGGAGGACCACACACGGCCTTCATAGCTCGCATTTCCTCCCTGGGGAACATCAGACCTGCTAGAACACATGGCCATTCAGTGGCTAAAGCCTTCCAGAGGGAACTCGTGGCCCTCCAGTCAATTCACCAAGGCACTTCTTCAAATCAGTGACGACTTCCTGGATACTCCGCGATGATGCCAATATGTTTGCCTGTTTTAATACAAAATACAGTTGTCCTTGAATTACACAGTGAGGATGCAAAACCTGGGCCTGGGGGCCGCATCCTGCTCGCTCCAGGTGAGCACACACCTTCCATCTGACCATGTTTGGTGTCTTTAGTGCAGTACCCCCTGCCCTATTCTGAGTGGTCCTCAGGTGTGATGGCTTGTGCTAAGAGCTTTTTTGGGCCTACCGGCTGCTGGACTGCACCCCAGCGCCACCCTCAAGGGCTTCTCCAAACTGGAATTTGGCCCACAAATGGAGAAAGATTCAAGACCCCCAGTGAGAGGGCTTCATCCCAAAAGGAAACTGGTAACCCAGGTGTCCACCAGTCCTCCCTCCCTCCCTCCCTCACACATACCATCTCCCCCGCCAGTCCACATTCTGGAGCATCCCTGTGACCCACAGGTAATCATGGGCATCTCAGGGCTAAAGAATGAGTAGGCACAGTGACACCCCCCGGCATCCGGGCAACTTGGACACCTTTCTCGGCACCCCCAAAGTGCCTGCCCTTTCCGAGCACTGATGTTTATTTTCACTTTAAATGAGCATATTTCATAATGGCAGCTGGGCCCGCTTCAAAGCAACAGGCAGCTGCCTTTCTTCTGTTCCCAGGAATGCCTCCGGGCCACACATGCCGTTCAGGGACACCTCCAGGAAGTGAAGCTGCTGCAGGCCAATGCCTGCGGTGGCCGCATGTCCCTTTTGCAACAGTGCCCAGGAAAAGCTCTCAAATTTCCAAATAGGCCCGCAAGAAATACTGCCTGTCCCTGCTGGTGGTGTTTTCATAAAGCACAGCTGAGCTGAACTCTGGTTACTTTTGTGTAAGTGGTCCATTGCATTGCAGGTGGGGTGGTTAACCCCTTCCACCGGCCTCTCCCCCTACTAAATGCTCCTTCCCCTGGAGGGATCAGACAGACAGACAGACAGACAGACAGACAGAGCTCCAACAGCACCCGTTGCTCTAGCTCTCATGTGCAGGACCAGCTGCAAACAACATGCAGTTGAGCCATTCATCTCACTGCACTTAAGAGTACAGAACCGGAGTACAGGCCTCTCCCTTTGGCAAATGGCTTGGGGATCCGCACTGGTCTCCCAGAGAGTAAACAAGGCCACGTGGAATCCGAAGACAGCTAGATATAAACCCTGCTCAGAAACACTGTTTGCTTAAAAGGAAATCCTGAGGATTGAGCAGGCAAGGCTGGTCCCGGCCCTGATCCCCACCCCTCGAAGTGTTCCTGGACGGACTCGGGCAAGGAGCACTGTGGGCAGCCGCTTTCCGGCTGGCCACGTGGCTGAATGCTGGTGCTCTCCCGGCAGAGCAGCCTTGGCCTCACTGCTTCCTTCCTCCTGGGACAGGCCGTGTACTCCCGCGTGGCTCGCATTTGCAAAAACGACATGGGTGGCTCGCAGAGGGTGCTGGAGAAGCACTGGACATCCTTCCTGAAGGCACGCCTCAACTGCTCGGTTCCCGGGGATTCCTTTTTCTACTTCGATGTTCTGCAGTCCATCACGGACATTATAGAAATCAACGGGATCCCTACCATCATTGGGGTTTTCACTACTCAGCTCAACAGGTGAGAGACGAGCGACCCGTCGTCAGCCTGTTCCCTGGTTGTTTACTGATGGTCCGTCGGCGGCTACTTTGCCATCTTGCCACCTCTCCTCTTCTGTGTCCTTTCAGCATCCCTGGATCGGCGGTGTGTGCCTTTAGCATGGATGACATTGAGAAAGTCTTCAAAGGGAGATTTAAAGAACAGAAAACAGCAGATTCTGTTTGGACAGCTGTACCTGAAGAAAAAGTACCGAGGCCAAGGTAAAAAAAAATTACAAGCAATTAACTAGCATCAGTTGCTTTGTCTCATCTCTACTGCTGCTTTGGAATAACTAGAATCACATTTTGGCTATTCAGTGCATCACTGACTAGAAATATCTTGTGCTTGCTTGTGTTTTTTCACTGCCCTTTGGACACGGCAAGGGGTCAGCCAAACAATTTGTTGCATACCTATACAAGCTCTTGGATCTTCCATCGGAAAGACCTGGGTTTGACTAAGGGCTTTTGGAGTTTATCCAAAATGTGAACGAATAGTTCCTCACTGCCACTGCATGTCAACTAGTCCTGCTCACCATTGCATGCACTGTGTAGCCCCACCCCTAGCTATCTGCAAAGGGAGGCCTTTGTGCATACAGCTGCAAAAATGGGGGCTTCCACATGATTTGGACCCTGCACTGTCAAAGTTCCCAACGCAATGGAGGTCTTCACAGCTGTGCAGGTCAAAACCCTCCTCCCTCCTGGGATTTGCTGGACACAGAGGTGGGCATGACATGAGTGCGGCTGCTTGGTGTGCCCTGGTCCCCTTCACGTGCTGCATTTACTTCTTCAGTTCAGAAGAACTGAAGAGCTCTTAAGAGCTCTTATTCTCTACTTCATTCAGGACCTTCATGTTGATGCATCATCAAAAAGCAACTTGATTGTGAGTTCCATCAGCCCGGCTAAGCAATTCAGTCCCCTGAAGTTCTCTGGACATCTGTGAATTAACCTTGGGTACCAAATACATGGCAGAGATCGCAATATTCAATATTAGCATGCACAACCACTTAGAAAAGAAACTTACACAAAAGTCAGCCAAGGAGTGAATTAGGACCCTCGAATGAATGGCTTTAATGTTCAGGAAGGTCCTTTTTTCATACCCTAGACCAGTGGTGGCGAACCTGTGGCACACGTGGCACAGCGTACGCACAGAGCCCTCTCTGTCGGCACGCGGGCCAAGTCGCCCCAGCATCGCCCCAGCAGCCAAGAATTGGAGAACACACACATAGGAGCCATGCACGTGCGAGGAAAGGAGTGGCGGCACCAGGAAATGATGTCACGGGTCACAACTCGTTAGCCGTGACTTGTCCAAGGTGTCCTGGCGTGTTTTTGATGGGTGGAATGTGCTTAGAATGGGCAGAAAAGATGAGCTGTGCAGAAAAAGCTGCTCAAGGAAGGCTTTTACAAAATCGCCCTCTTTTCAATGGAACTTTAGCCCTGTATTAGGGTTAGGGTTGTGCACCAGGGTAGGGTTAGGGTTAGAAAAACAAGGTGCCTTGGCATGGTTTTGATGGTTGGAATGTGTTTGGAATGGGCAGAAAAGATGAGCTGTGCAGAAAAAGCTACTCAAAGAAGGCTTTTTCAAAATCGTCCTCTTTTCAATGGAACTTCAGCCCTATATTAGAGTTAGGGGTGTGCACCAGGGTAGGGTTAGGCCAGTGGTGTTGAACCTATGGCACATATCCACAGCAGGCGCACAGATCCCTCTCTGTCAGCATGCGAGCCAAGTCGCCCCAGCATCTCCCCAGAAGCCGAGCATCGTATAACAGCGCACATAGGGGCCATGCGCATGCTCAGAAAGGAGTAGCAGCGCCAGGCGATGACATCATGATCCATGACTCATTAGCCACAACTCGTCCGAGCTTTCACATGGCCAGTCAGTGTGCTGCTAAGGATATATATCCATATTTGCTTGGACTGGCTGTGAGTTTTTTTTCTAAACTAAAACCTCTGTTTTCAGGTTTTATTGTAGTGTTGGCACTTTGTGATAAATAAGATGGGTTTTGGGTTATAGTTTGGGCACTCGGTCTCTAAAAGGTTCGCCATCACTGCACTAGGCCATCTGCCTCAATGCCCTCCACTTTCCCTTCCCTGGTTCCCTGTGGCTGTTTCTGGACTCCAGCTCCCAGCAGCATGACATGGTCATGATAGTACTTGTAGTCCAGAACATCTGGAGGACACCGGGTTGGGAAGAGACTCACAGTGGGTGTCCAAAGTTGCCGACCAGACTTTTTCCCAGCCCTGCCTGGGGGAGCCAGTGATGGAAGCCAAAGCCTCAAAGTTTCATGCACCAGTTTCAGGGTAACTCTGTCTTGACAGCTGAAATGCTCCCCAGAAGTACTGGAACAAAAGATACTCATCATGGAAGCCACCTTAGGCTGTCATAAATTCAGCTAAACCACTGGTCCATCAGGCCCATGGGCTCTGCCTGGCTCCAGACCTCCTGGGATGTCTCCTGGGCATCCTTCCCAGCCTCACTACCTGGAAGCCCTTGAGGCATCATGGGTGAATCTGAGGCCCAGCAGGTACACAAGACGCCTGCTCTGCTAGTGAGCTCTTGCAGCCTTCTGTCTCTCCTCCAGGAGCTCACAAATGGCCATCCTCTTTCCCAGTGTCGGCCTAGTGGCGCTGTGCCACGTCCGAATGTGTGCCTGCAGGCACAACGCAGGTGAGTCGCGGAACGTGCAAATGCGACAACACCGGCTCAAGCGAAGCAACAGACCAGCCGCTTCCCAAATCACTGTCCGGATGGAGCCAAAGAAGCAGTTTTCCTTTGGGCTCCAGTTGAGTTTTCCTTTGGCCATGCAACCATGCCTTTTCAGCATTCTTACCCTGTGCGTGAATGATTTTAAAAATCGGGAAAAAATGTCGCTTTCCTTTCAGACCTGGCTGCTGTGCAAAACACGGCCCAGCAGAGGCTTACAAAACCTCCGTTGATTTCCCAGATGAAACCCTCGCTTTCATCAAATCCCACCCTTTGATGGATTCTGCCGTCCCGTCCGTCATTGAGGAGCCTTGGTTCACAAAGACGAGGGTCAGGTAAGGGAGAGGCAGCCTGGTGAGCCCGAGCCCAGGTGCTGCAGCTTGGAAATAAATTGGATTCCCGTCACAGTGGCAGCACACGGGGGCCTTTCTGCACGATTGCGGATCCTCCTGCAAGGGTCCAATTAGTACAGTGGCGTAATAGGAGGAGACGGCAGCCTGGAGACGCTACAAATGCTGTTCCAAGGTTTTTTAAAAACTTGGCTAGATCTATGACGCTTGCCCTTACACACACACTACAACTTGAGACGCATCCCTGTGGCACCTTCAAGGCATCATTCTCATCCACTGCAGTTTTCTGTTCAGCTTTCTGGGAGCTTTAGAGAAGCCATCCATGATGCTGACCATGCAGCTCCATGGATGGCTGCTATGAAGCTGAAAAGAAAAGCTGCCATGTGTCAGGAACCCTTTGCTGTAGGAGTCGGCAGCCTCACCTGCATGTCACCATGTCACCAGGGGAGGCCCTCTGAGACCATATGGCCCTTCTGAATCCAAAGCCACTAGATGCATCGCTGCCTCACTCGACGCCCCATCCAATACGGAGGCCACCAAAAGATGCTGCATCTTGCCGGCTGCCGGATGGTCTTCTTTGTGCCACTGGTTGGGTGGTTGGTTTTAGGTAGTGTACGATTTTCAAATGGAGATATCGGCCACTTTCAGATGTATGAGTTTATAATCCCTTATATGAAGGAATAACTCATTGAACTCAGCGTGACTTCTGAGCAGTCATGGTTAGGTTTGTGGCATGTCTTTGGAATCAATAAACACCCTACGATCGGGTTATCTAATGCAATGAAGCATGGCTTTCACCTGATGCACCTGCTCCAACCATAAAATCAATGTCAGAGGCCCTGTTTCCTGGCTCAGCCACAGCAAAGATCTGACCGGTGGGTACCAGAGACAAGGCCTTTTTTCTCCAGCTTTGGAAATCACTCCCAGGAGTAGGGAGAATGCACAAGCCTCCCATGTTTAGATTTTATATGAAAACGATCGCACTCCATGGGGTTTTCATGGCAAGGATACTGGAGTGGCTTGCCATTTCCTTCTCCAGTGGATCACCTTTTGTCAGAGCTCTCTGCTATGACCTGTCCGTCTTGGGTGCCCCTACACAGCATAGCTCATGGCTATGGAGAAGGCTTCTCACTGGAGAAGACCCTGCTGCTGGAAATGTTTGACAGCAAAAGGAGAAGGAGATGGCAGAAGTTGAGGTGGCTGGATGGAGTCACTGGGGCAGTGGGTGTGAGCTTGGGTGGACTCCAAGGGATGGTGGAGGACAGGAGGGCCTGGAGGAATGTTGTTCAAGGGGTCGTCATGGGTCAGGCACAACTTTGCGACTAAACAAAAAATGCATTCCAAAAGGCCTTTTGTCTGGTTGATCCTGCTCTTTCTTTACTACCACTCTGTAGGTTTTAGTGCCGTCTTTTTCATTTGTGTTCCATTGCTGTTATATTTTTATTGGTTTTATTGAAATCTACTATGGAAAATTAGTTTGAAAAATGGGGTGTATCTAATATTCCTGAACAAAGGAGGGCATGTTGTCCGATACCCAACCAAGACTGTGCAGCTGCCTCCTGCTGGTGGTACAAAGGCAGAGCTGTGCTATTGCAAGAATGCTGATGCAGGGTGAGGGTGAGGGTTATTATGCAGGCTGGCACATGGATTATGCACATTATTATGCACATGGATGGGTCGCAAGCCCATGTGGACTTGTCCCCAGTGGAGGTGTGAGCTGGCCTGCTTTTGCTTGGGGCAGCTAGACATGAAATGGGGAAAGACACAGCATGAATACTTCAGATACGTTGACTGATGGGGTCTACAGCAACCTGGTGGTCCTGTCCAGTGTGGAGAAGTGACAGAACGCTCACACTCTGCAGGCACCTACTCAGAAGCCAACCCTAATGACTTCAACGGGACTTAATCCCTGGAATATAGAGACAGGATGGCATTGACCGCATCATTAGGAAACTGTGTGCATGGAAACAGGATGTGGCACCCATGAAGAACACAATTTCATATTGGAGTTTCCAAATCACTCCTGGCTTCCCCACGTATTTCACTGTCCTTCCGTTGCATTCCCAAACAAGAAGGTGTTTCGGTTGCTGCTCAAGATTAATTTTTCTTTGCTTTCTAAGTGTGGCATTCTTTCTTTAGTATGAGGGGTGTTGGCAGCTAGTAATGCAAACAGACCTGAGGTGAGGGTATTGGTGGGTCTTGCAACTGCTGCTATCAAGGCATTCATGCCTAGTCCCTCAAAAAGCAGCCAGAAAGAGAGCTGTTTTTCTATTCCATGCCCAGAGGAAAGAGGCGTTCAGGGACTCTTTTCTGGGAGAAAACTTGCAGACTCCCCTTAACAGAGTAAATTTAATACACTGCTGTTTTTTTAAGCTCACTGCTTTCTGGCAATCCTACCCAGACTGAGAAGATGGCACGGGATGAGAAGGTGGGGAGATGCTGGCAGGTATGCAGAGCAATTATTATGTAAGATCTCTTGGTCTTGACAGGTATCGGTTGACTGCCATTGCTGTGGATCATTCTGCTGGCCCATATCAAAACTACACAGTCATCTTTGTTGGCTCCGAAGCCGGAATGGTGCTTAAAATCTTGGCAAAGACGAGACCTTTTTCTTTGAATGATAGTGTATTACTGGAAGAGATAGACGCTTACAATCATGCAAAGTAGGTATTCTTTTACGAGAACAGCTCAGAGACATTTTACAACATCTGTCTGGTTTGAGCCACTTTTGCTCTCTGCCACCTGATTTAAATCTACTTTCCTTCCCCTCCCCTTGCTGCCACTTCAGCTCCTCTTGTTGTGTCTTGTGTTTTCTGGTCTTCATAGGAGTGCATGCTTGGCAATTTGAAAATAATGATAAGCACAGTCTGATCCCCCCGCCACACACACACACACACACCCTCCCAAGGTCATGGAAATGCCTCCATAACTCTGCAGCTATTTTTCTTCCTTCTCCTCCTCCTATACTGGAAGGGATAAATGGCAAACCCACAAAGAAGCTAAAGTCATCAGTAATGGTTGAGATAAGAATTGCTAATGAACTATTGGAGAACCTCTTTCAGCTGGGCCTTCTGGGCAATCAGTCTTACGTACCCGAGCAGGCAGCAGGCATGGCTGTCCTGCCGGGCTTCCATGGATGGCGAAGGTTAGGGCTCACAGAGCCTTAAGGGAGGCATCGCCACCTGTGAGAATGCAGGCAAGACTGCATGCAAGTCCAGACACCCACAAAATGATCAGTGGCGCAGGCAGAGGGCGTGTGACCAAGGGAGAGGGAGTGTGGCCTTCTGGAGAACCCCAGATGGCCGGATTGGGACCCCCAGGAGGCCATGTTTGGTCCCCAGATAGGACCATTTGCACCCCTGCAGTGGCAGTGGAAGCCCGGCACTGGCGCTGCTCTGTGCCATGAACTCCGTCAGTCTCAGCGCTCCAAGGGGCAACATGCTGAGACACCACAATGGCCTTGCTACACTGCACCGCACATCACAATGGTTGCGGAAGGCAAATGCGTGTGCTTTGGCCTCATCATGCCACCCACCTGCAGACTGGAAGCACCGCGCTTGGTTGGCTGGCTGGCATTGCACCTGTAGGGCAACCAAATCCAGGGCACACCTGGAGACACACCAAGCAGCCACCTCGCTCAAGTGCTCGGAGGGGTCATCTGGGAGCCGCATGATCGCCCGGGCACCTTGAGCTCCACAAAGGAAGGAAGCTAGAATGTAAATAAATACATGAAGAAACACACTAGATCCCATTCTGGATTACCACACACCTGTTGCACCCGCTATGAATCAGCAGTGCTCAGATCAACACATCGTAGCCTCGGGGACCTGAAGTTACAGCCACCATATTCATTTTCCCACAACATCCCTGCACTGGGTGCCCTTTAGATCTAAATGGAGCATGATGGAAAATGTAAATGGTGGCTTCCCAGACAGGTCCAGGGTCAGGCGAGGCACTACGGGAAAGATTCCACCAAACAGCATATTGCCAAGGGTTCTCTGAGGTGTGGAAATTAGGTCCCTTGCTGTATGCCTGGTTTACTCCCAGCCCACCCCCAACACTATTGTGGGCAAGTATTCTGTTCTCTCAAATCCCCAGGGATTGGGATATTTCAAAGCAAGCATCACCCAGCTCAGATTCAATGTAAAACCAGAAGTCTTGAGCATCCCCCTGGATCAAAAGGGGAACAAAGCAAATAACCATTCTGGAATTCCTTGTGCCAAACAGGTGCAATGGAGACGGCGAAGAGGACAAGAAGGTCATCTCCCTGCAACTGGACAAGGAGCACCACGCGCTGTTTGTGGCTTTCTCCAGCTGTGTAATTAGAATGCCTCTAAGCCGCTGTGAGAGACACGGCTCGTGCAAAAAGTAAGTTCCCCCTTGCCAGCATGTCTGTGCGAGGAACTGGGCCAGTCTCCAGTGCTGGCAGTTGGAAGCTCACTTCTTCTCTGCTGTCGCTGCAGGACCTGTATTGCTTCTCGAGATCCTTACTGCGGCTGGTTGAACCACGGGACCTGTGGGAGAGTGAAGCCAAGCATGTTGTAAGTGGCAGGGCTCTTGCTGTTTTCCCGACTTACTTCTTGGTGTTGCAGCCTGAGAAAGAATCACAGAATCATACAGCTGGAAGAGGCCCGGCAGGCCTTCATGGCCAACTGCCTGCTCAATGCAGGACTCAAGTCACCCATCCAGATTTCAACCAGGCCTGACATTGCTTAGCTTCCGAGATCAGGCAAGATCTGTCACTTCAGGCTGTAGGTATACTTAAATGCAAGGCTGAGCAGGCGTTCTTGAAACGGAAGGTTGTCAGCTCAGGTGTGCAGAGCAACCTCATATAAGCATTCAATTTACCTGCACATTTCAAGGCTCATTCTCAGTCTTTGAAGCCTGAAACCAGGGGGCAGGCAGAAAGTAGACTTCGGCTCCCTGCATTCTTCTTTGTGGTCTCTGCGCATGTCTGGAACCTTTTTGGGAAGATTCCAAAGCTATGTTGATACCACCCGCCAAGCTCACCAGTCGCCCATCTGTGTGATGCACAGAGACCGCGGGGAAGAAAGTGTGATTGCTTGCTGGTAGCTGTCGTTCTTTGCGTGGTCATCTGTGCATTGACACAAAACCCACCTTCCTTCCCCTGGTGGCTCAGTTATCCACACTGGGGTCCACACAGGCCCAGGGCCCCATTCCATCTGCCATGGGGCCATGATGGCGTCTCATGTCAAACGAAGACCAGGCAGGGAACCTTAATTTGGGTTCCCACTGACTGAATCTTAGCTATGGGATCTTCCCAAACAGGCTTCATGCATGTGAAGGCACAGGTGCCCACTTAAGAAGGACAGTTATGGATAAGCAACCTTACCTTCTTGACCACTGGTCATCCTGGCAAGGGCTGGAAGCCCAAAAAGCCACCTGTGATGGACCTCTGCTTTAAGTGGCCTTGAACTGGGTTCTGCCAGAGCCCTATTTTCTTGCACGTCCTTAAGCACGAGCTACTTTATGGATCCCAGGGACAGAGCTTTCCAGGTGGGGCCGCCATTATACTGGATTCTCTCCCTGGGAAACAACTTCCATTCCCATTCTGAGATCACATTCTTAGATCTTATTCTGGAAAGTATTGTATTGACCAATGGCCTTGTTTTATTGTTTGTCCATGGGGGAGTGTGTGATGCAGGTTTGAGATCTTTGTGTGCACGTTCAATTTAGTGTCGGGTTTTGGTTTTCAGTAAGCTGCTTTGGGCAAAGCCACAGGTAGTGCCAGGCTTGTGAAAACTGTAGAAGAGGCTGCAAGATAAAAACCAAAGGCCCATCTGGTCCAGCAACCTGTTCCTCACAGTAGCCAACAAGATGCCCCCGTGGGAAGCCCATACACAGGGAAGGAGGGGCCATGGAGAGCCTTTACCTGTGTTCCCCAGAAAAAGTGTGCCAGGAGGAATGTCCTGCCATCCAGGAGAATGGTAGACCTGCACGGACTCTGAATGTGTGAACACTGCACTTGTGAACGGAGAGCACGATCCAGCCCTGCCCTGCTCCTTGCACATTTCTGTCATTCTGTGCCCAGAGAGCAGTGATCTGGGGAGGAAAGCTTCTATATCCATGGTTTTATGCAATGGGGGACCCGGGAAAATCACGGAGATGAGATGCTTGTCTACAGACCACTGCCTGCTTCATGTACAGGATGATGGAAATGCAGGTGTAGAGGGCTTCTTCTGCGCATGAGGTTTATTCCACATAGATGACTGAATAGGGCTAAACTCTGGGCCAAATTGTGTTGGATGGTTCCTTTCTCACGATCATGAGACACAGTCTTGTGGGAAGCTCCCACCAGGAGACAATGCAGCAGCACTTGCTAGCTCTCGGCTGTGCCTTCTATGCAGTTAAGAATGAATGGCATAGAAGGCACCAAGAAGCATTAGCTTAGGCAGCAGCCATTCAAGTTAATCTGAAGACCAGCATCCACCAAAGCAGCCGACTTAACAAGGCACACAGAGGTCGTTCAGATCAAAGCTGTCAGTTTTGAGGTTTCTCTGGATGATGATGATGATGATGATGATGATGATGATGCAATGATGTTCACCACCATTGTCTTTCCCAACTAATGCTGTTAATTGCAGGTTGTCTTTGTTTGTTTCATACAACCATAGCATTGGAGGATATGAGCAAGATGTGGAATACGGCACCACTGTGCAACTTGGGGATTGTCACGGTAAGCGCTGGCCCCCAGATGCCAACTTGCGAATGTGGCATGGTTTTGTTTGCGGGCCACACGCTGATGTGGCTGTCACATTGATGGCACTGAGCACCCCCCTCCTCCTGTTAAGCCAGTGGGCACAATCCAGAGCTGCTTGATCTTGGGTGGTGGAGCCCTTGGACCGTTTTTCTCCCAACCCTCACGAACATTCGTGAAGGTCTACAGCCACATTATTAAACTGATACTTTTCCCTTCCTTTTCCTTTTCCTTTGGGTAACCCAATTGTATTTTATTTTCCGATTTTCCGTTGCTTAGGCCTTGACAATCTTTTGCTTTTTCTTTCAGTTACTTTTCACTGATTATGTGTTCCTTTAATTCTTTTAGAAATTTTGCCTACTACAACTACACCAGATTACAAAATATTTGGCGATCCAACATCTGGTTAGTTTTTTTCAATCGTTTTTTCCCAACTTAATGAAGCTTTTCTTTCCTTCAGTTCAGCATTTTCAGAACCCCTTTCTTTTTCTCCCCCGCACCCGCACTTCCTATGGTGCAATTGGCAAGTCTTCATATTTTTTGCTTTTCTGCTTTTCCTCATTTTCCTACTGATGATCAAGATACAGCCAAGACTTTATCACTCAGCACTTTTTCCCTTGTATACCTGCATGCGTAACAGCTCATTATCAATTGAGATGCATATTTTATTAATGGAAGGACCTGATTAACATAGATGACATTCTCACTGCATGAACCTAAGTTTCGACTCTTGTTTTCCCCTCTTCACCCCACCATACAATCAGGAATGCTGCCCACCCTTCATTATTATTTAGTAGATGGATGTCTGACTCTTTTCATCTTTCTCCCTCCGTTCCTTCTTCCTTCCTGTCCTGTGTCGTCCAGTTATTTATAAAGCAAATGCACATTTCCCGAAATGTGTGTTTCTCAAGTGTTGGAAATGTGTTGATTTCTTCAAGGTTTGGAAATGCGTTTGTGCTAATAGATCACATTTGGCATATTTCTGGAGGTTGTATATGCACTTCTTCCAGAAAAAAGCCACAGCAGCAGAGAGCAAGCAAGAGAGAGCAAATGGAAGTAAGGAATTGCCTCTTACAACCATTGTAAAAATGTAAGTTTTGTCCCTGCCTCCACCCCTGGCTTCACTGGGATCACAGTCCCCTTCTTTTACGGGATAACCTCTAGCCATTTTCCGAATGACAGGCAAGCACACAAAAGTCTTTTCATGTCCACGGTGCTTTTTTCAATTACCTATATACAACCTTTTTCTCTCTCCTAAGCTCATTATTCCTTCTCTGATCTCTTAGCCCTTATTCAGCTGGAGAAAATTATACAACAGCTTTCCAAAATGGATCTGGTTTAGGTACTGAAATATATATGCCTCGAGTTCAGTTCCAAAAAGCAGTGACCTCCAATTTGGAGGTCATTAGTGGAATCTGAGAATCTCTGCTGGAGGGGCTGCAGTTCACAAGAGTGAGGGATAACTGGAAGGGATAGACATGCAAACTCCAGGACTAAAAACTGGTTAGCAGAAGGAATCTCTTGCTGGATCAGAACTCAAGTGTAGCCTAGCCCAGCATTTGGCTTTCCCCAAAGGTCATTCCCAGATGTCTCAGAGAAGGTGGCAATGGTGACCGGGGGGGGGGGGGGAGCAGGGAGGATGTCACCCCCAAACTCTGGCATCCAGAGACCCCAGTGCCTTCCTTATCAGCTTATTTGCACCTAACGAAGATCTTTGCCTCTACCAAAGTCTTTTAAATGCTCTTTGGTTTATTTTTGAAAGCACTTTGCTCATTAGAAGAAGCATTCGTAGGCTGCATTTTAGAGTCCTGGGTGCATCTTCACCATTGTATGGTAGCGCTGTGCTGAACCCTGCCAAAGCTTGCATGAAATTCCTTCCTCCCTGGAAAAGGGGCATTTCCCCTGCCCTTTTACAGAGACTGAGGGGAGGATTTTGAATATTGTTCCCACTGAGGATCTGTAGGAAATGGCTTTGGTGGGGGGGGGGGGTCTTCTTTCTATTTGCTACTTCTAAAACACCCACGTGCTGTAGCAGCATCAACAGACTCTTCATGCAGAGGCTTTTGAATGCCCATGAAGCCCCTATCACCTCCCATGGCCTCCCGGGCATTCAGAAGACCCCCAGATAATTGGGAGCCCTTTCCCCACCCCCCAGACAGAACATTCTTCAAAATACTCTCCCCATTCAGCTACTTTCATCAGAGTTTTCATTTTGCTCACCAGCACCCCCTCCCCAGCTTGCCAGCAATTTCCCAATACCTGATCCAGGGTTAATCTTGTTACCATAAGCCACCTGCAGAGCTTAAGGTCATGGGTCGCCCTGTTCATATGATAAATACGTAGATAAATATTGTCCTTTTGCACAGTGACTCTATCCATTTTTCTTGGCCATCATCACAAGCGTTCACCTCTTACATTAGAGCTTGCAGTATCATGAATGGTTACTGGCCATGTTAGCTTCATGGAGCACCCCTGAAAGAGCCAGGAGGATGGGGTCCAGTGGCTGCTATTGGCTCAGGGAGGATGAGAACCACCACTGCCATCATCCATGACTGTTGCCCATGCTGGCGAAGGCTGATGGGAGCTAGAGTAGAGCAGCGTCTGGAGGGGCACAGGTTCCCCATCCATGTTGTGCAGTGAAAAGTGTTCTGTAGGTCAGCACCTTCCACCTTCTTGCCTACGGAAGTGAACCCTTCAGAAAGCACGGAGTGGGCAGTGGGACGGAAGGGAAGTGATCAAGCAGGCCAGCCTCAAAATGGAAGGGAACTTTGAAGCTCTGTAACAAGGACAGTGACTCCCCTTGAAATTTTGCAGAATTTTCATCCGAATCCCTCTTAAATGACTTGAGTGCTGCTCTTTTGAACTCCAAAGGCAATAACCCATATTGGAGTTCAATGACAGTGCCATCAAGCACAGAGATTGATCCTGATGGAAACATTCCCTCTGATATTTCATTAATTCTCTCTGCCAACAACAATTTTCATAGGCTTTTTTGCAATGCTTTTGGGAGTTCAACAACACATGATGCTTTGGTTCAATGTCTGATGATATTTGCACTTCCATAACGGAACAAGTAAGGTGTTTGATCAACAAACATTCCATAGATTTATTTTGCCCAAGATCTAATTCTGACAGGGAGGCAGGGGAGCAGCATCGTGTGACTACTTTCCCCTTTCTTCCCACATGCATATGAAGAAATGAAACATCTCATTCTCTTTAAAACATGACATTGGCCCATAATGGCACACTTTCAATTAGTAGATATTTATTTACCTCAAATCTTCCTCCATTTGCATGGATAATTAGGACATCCACGGCTAAATACGCACAGGAAGTTTAGAAACTCCCAATGCCCTAACATCAGCATGGATTGTGGCCTAGGAGCTTTAGCATAGAACCATGGAAATTCCAAGTTTGGGGTTTAAGGAAAGATCCAGGCCATGGCCTTTGAGGCATGAAACCTTCTTTGAGTTTCTGGCAAAAAACTTGCGCTGGCTCCTACAAATGCATTCTAGCTATACGAGGGGACGTACACTGCAGATACTATTCTTTCTGGCTAGCCAGATATCACAGCTAAGGATGAGGTGTGTTTTACAAAGGGATCCCTAAACACATGGGCTTTCCAGGCCTGCTTGCTCTTGTGCCCAGTCTGACAGCCCCACAAGTTTCCGCTGCCTGCAGCTTCTGGGTGCTGCCAGGTCTGGGACTCCATTTTGCACAACATCCGCAACCTCAGTTGGAAAAGGACTGTAGCTTTGTGGTGGAGCACATTCCTGGCATCCAGCTGGTTCGCGGTTCAGTCTCTGACTCCTCCATCCAAAAGGACGTGATAGCAGAGAATGCTGGAAGCGTCTGCCAGCGATCTCGGGCAGCAGCTGCCGGTCAAAGTTGCTAATGTGCCAATGTGCAGACAGCTGGTGCAGCCCAACTTTTCCCATCCTCTCTGCCTATCTCCATTTGCGCATCATGGACTTCACAGTAAATTCTATGTAATACACTTCCGGTCCCAGATGTCGAAATCTGATTATGTTGTTAATGCATCTGTACAAGAGAGGTGACTTATACACACCATTTATCCAGTGTTTATACATTTATGCACACCGTTTAGCAGTGGCTCCCCTGGTTTTCAGGCAGGAATTTTTCCAGTTCTACCTGAAGACATCCGGGATTGAACCAGCAACCTCCAGCATGCATGGTGGGCACTTCATCACACTGAGCTATGAACAGGGACCTACCATCCTGTTGTTGGCTTTTCTCCTCCCACATGGCAGTGCTCAGCTCTTCTTTAGTGGCCATTGAGCCAAGCTGCCCATTAACAAGGGACTGAAACAAAAAGGAAGAAGAAATTGCTTGCAATACACATTAATACGAATCTGTTTGCCACCACAGACACGGAATTGCCCTCAGCTTCTCTTGCCACAGTTGGAAGCATCCCCGTTCTCTCACCCAAAGTGATTGGTTCCTGGAAACCTAAAGTGACTGGCTCTCGGAAATTTGTAGCTCAAGATGAACCAAACAGTTCTGATTACTCTGATCCATTATCAGGGGTCCCAAAGGGTAAGGCCTAATCAGGGAATATATTGTGGTCAAAAGGAAACCTGATAGCTTCAGCGGCTTCAGAGATTAAATTGAAATGCTCACTACGGGCTGCATGCGGCATCACCTGTATACAGAACAAAGGTATTCGTGCGCTTCTCTTTTCTTGCTTGGCTACCAGCCCATGCTCTGGACTCTGCCAAGCCGACATCCATCAGGCCGGGTCAGTTGCTGTTTTTCATGCAAAGATGGTGCAGGCTATAGAGGGCAATCCTGTAAGTCAGCCCCATTGACCTGAGTGGGCCTTACTTCTGGGTAAGCTTGTGCAGAAGTGCAGAAGTGGGTCGTCTGGCATCGTGCCGCCCTTCGTGCACTTGATGCCCTCACCACCAGGACAGAACATCCAGTCGCGAACCGGGGATGGGGGTGGGGACACACACAACCGCAGCATCTTTTTGCAAGAGAGGAGGAGCCGTCTCAGGTTGCTGGACCACAATGGACAAGAGTCCTCAGGCGACCACCAGAAGGATCATGGTGTCAGTGCCCAAATGCTCCCTCCTTTAGGACAAGAGATGCTTGGCTATTTCTGCAGAAAGGTACCTGATCTGCCTGGGGATGTAAAGATCTTAAATCTCCCGCACTGTGGATAACTTCATACATCTTTTCTGGGGCAGAGAGAGTTATTCTCCAGGTAGGGAGAAGGGGCAGTGTGCTATTTGGGCCGTATACTGTGGGCACGTTTGTCAGACAGGAAGGCTTAAAGTGTCCACCTGAGCGAAACGGCACTGCCGGTCTTCGCACATTTGGAGCGGCAGCTTCTGCATGCAGGGGCATCTTGCATGCTGACCGGAGCAGAGCCGGTTTAAGACTCGTCGCGGGGAGAGCCAAAGTGATGTCCTGGCACAGCTTGGCTCCAGTCTTCCTTAACCACAGAGCCCATGAGGGCACCTCCATTTTGGGGGTCTTGTTCCCACGAGGGTAACTTCCAGCCTCTCTTTCTCTTTCTCAGCCTAAGAAGCCTAGGATTGTTGTGAAGGTAAGCACAGGCTCATCTTTCTCAAGCAAAAAATGATTCCTGGGAGATAAGTCAGGCTGTGGGAGGTTGCCCAGGCTGGGTCCCTGCTTCCGCCCACCCTGCCTCTTCTCTCAGTAGATGGTGCATATTCGCATGAGCGCCTCTCTTTTCTTTCGTTCTTTTTTTTTAAAGACTTACAAGTTATGCACAACCCTTTTGCATTTTACTATTCACTGAAACATATCAGGTTTCCTTTTGGCCATTTTGGCAGCGCATTTGTAATTTTGCTTCAGGTGTTTTATTGCTCGATTGTCCTTTAAAACCAGTTTGCTGTTGTTAGGATTTGCTCTCAGTCATGCTTGGTGACATTTGCTCTAGAAAGCCTTCTCAGTCCTTTTCTCCTTCCCCCCCCCCCCCCCCTTCTGCACAATGCCATTAAAACCAGTAACCCTGAACATTAACTCTCTTCAAAGGCCTTGCTTCTAACAGGAAAAAACCCATGAAACTCTTTTTCATCTTCACTTCCCCCTTGTGAGGAATAACACAATTAGATGAATTCTGCCAAACTAAAATTTTCCTAACATTTCTCACATTTGTCTGTGGCTGCTTTTCAAAAAGTAGAAAAAACCAGCAAGTTCTGCTATATTAACATGCAAATTGCAAAAGTAATTCTGTGTTTGCTCTTTTTTCTCCTAGGTCTAAATTGTATTCTATATTATAAAAATACTAATACTTGTCATTCATCTATATGGCTTTTAAACTATGCTCTGTTCCCAGTGTCCATTACTCACTGAAATATAGACCTTAAAATGTGAAGATAATATTGTCTTTTTGTTTGCCTGTTTGTTTAAATGTACAGAGAATGCCATTTCTGAAATAGCAAGGTTAGACAGCATTTTGTTTGGAGGGAAAGAACAAGCATGCTTCTAATGATGCAAGGTGCACATTATACCATTTTATACCATATTTGCATAACCCTATCTCACTTTTGATTCTGATTTATGAGTCGAGCAGGGAATTGAGAGAGAAATCCATCCATGAGTTATTAATGGCAGTCTGATAGTTAGCACCTTCTCACCTCAATTTTCCAGCAGAAATCATTAAAGTTAATAACATACAAGCTACTATTTGTGAGTCTTAAAAGGATACTTGGGGACAAAGAGAGTAGACTGCCGGCATATAGTATCCCTGGACACACACTCCAGTTCTCCAAACGGAGCAGCACAGTTCAACGGGGAGGCACCGCCTTGTCCTCCTTTGGGCCTTCCATCCGGTTTTCTTTCACCTTACCCTTCCCTCTTGGCAAGCAGAGAACTTGGGATCATGGCCCACCCATCCTCACTCAGTCGTGACTTGGCTTTTCTTTTCAAGGGAACATCGTGACACCTCTGCACCATTCCTTGTGGCTGGTGCTCCTTGCAGCTGGGATGACAAAGAGCAGAGGAGGGCAGCCCCCCAGGGGAAACAGCTGCTGGCGTTACAGCTTCCTTGGTCCCTTGAGCAAAGGATGGTTTCGTTGCAAGGATCTGTAGTCAGCCATCACTCATCCCTGCCAGGGCGGGCATGAGCTGCATGGAATCTCTCCAGTGCAGTGGCTGAAAGACCCGAAAGAGGAGCTGGCCGAGAGTATTTTTGATGAGCCATGCCATGCATGGCTTGCTCTCCACAGGCAACTTGGGCAAACTGAGTCAGAGCAAGAGCCCTGCTGCTTGTCATTGCTGACGCAAACCCTGCTTTTGACCTGACGATCCGGCACAGTGCAACCCCCAGAGAGGCATAAAGATCTTGGCACAGGAGAACTTCAGCCTACATGCAAGAGGATGCATAGCCAGCCATCACTCAGCTGACAATGTATATCAGCTGCTAGTCGCCCTGCTAGGGAAGTGCAGGATCCCCAGGTACTGGGGGCCTCTGCCAGTGTTGCAGGATCGCTTGTTCAATGCACCGATACCCACAGGGACTGGAGCAAAGGATGCGTGGGCTCAGCTTCACACTACAGTGCGAGGGGAGAGTGCCTCTCCACACCGTAGGATATTGCATTGCAAGGCCTATGCGCAATGCTCTGGGGTGCACTGGGAAAATCCAGCACATGTGAGCAATACCGGTCTGCCAACACAGATCAGTGGCATTTAGGTTTAATTGACCCCTAAATGCAGGGAAGTTCCACCAAAGCGGCTGCATACACTGGAAGAAATCAAAAACTTTCTCTATTTCACTGTGACAACCTTGTGGATACCTTTGATTTCACTCAGATTTGTGCTGGATTGTGCCCATTACATTGATAGGATGTACGTGTGTTGAATATCCCTAAATGTCTCATGTACAAGCATTTAAAAGACACATTTAAACTTGTCTGTCTGCTACTGTGGGCCCGTGACTGATGATGGCTCCCTGTGAGGACACCCGTGTCATGATTCCAGCCCTAATCATGCCTGAATTCAAGGAGTGAGGTTTCTATTAAGTAGGCTGAGGACTTCAGTCTAGGATAATCAGGCATTGCTTTAGGTTGGTGCCACAGGAAACATGCTCCAATCTGTTAACAATGTGTGTGTTTGTTGTAGGTGTGAGGTGGGAAGTCCAGTCAGGAGAGTCCAACCAGATGGTGCATATGAACGTCCTGATTACATGCGTCTTTGCAGCTTTTCTACTGGGAGCCTTTATAGCAGGAGTGGCTGTTTACTGTTACCGGGATATATTTGTCCGAAAATCCAGGAAAATCCACAAAGATGCAGAATCAGCTCAGTCCTGTACAGACTCCAGTGGAAGTTTTGCCAAACTGAATGGTCTCTTTGACAGCCCCGTCAAGGAGTATCAACAGAATATCGATTCACCCAAGCTGTATTCGAATTTGCTGACAAACAGAAAAGAGCTGCCACCAACTGCCGACACAAAGTCCATGATGATGGTGGACCACAGAGGCCAACCACCAGAACTGGCAGCTCTTCCAACTCCTGAATCAACACCGGTGCTTCAGCAGAAGACTTTACAGTCCATGAAAAGCCAGATGGACAAAGCACCAAACAACCTCAGTGCTTCTAGAAAAGAAACTCCTCTGAAGAGCCCCCAGTTTTTCCCATCCAGCCCCCCACCCCATTCTCCATTAAGCCACGGACACATCCCCAGTGCTATTGTTCTTCCGAATGCCACCCATGATTACAATATATCCTTTTCAAATTCTAATGCACACAAAGCAGACAAAAAGATACAGAACATGGACCACCCAGGAACAAAGTCCTCCAGCAAAAGGGACCACAGGAGGTCTGTTGATTCCAGGAACACCTTGAATGATTTCCTGAAACATTTAAATGAAACACCCACCAACCCCAAAGCCATTATGGGAGACATCCAAGTGGCTCACCAGACTTTAATGCTGGATCCAATGGGAAACATGACAGAGATCCCTCCCAAAGTTCCAAACAGGGAAGCATCTTTGTATTCCCCTCCATCCACCCTCCCACGAAATAGTCCAACAAAACGGGTAGATGTTCCCACGACACCTGCAGTACCAATGACCTCTTTAGAAAGGCAAAGGGGCTATCACAAAAATTCCTCACAGCGACATTCTATATCAGCCCTTCCTAAAAACTTAAGCTCGCCCAACGGTGTGCTGCTATCGAGGCAGCCCAGTATGAACCGGGCAGGGTACATGCCTTCTGCTGCAGGGACAAAGATGGACTATATGCAAGGAGCCCCATTGAGCGCTCACCTACAGCCTTCCTTGTCTAGGCAAAGCAGCTACACAAGCAACGGGACGCTTCCTCGGACAGGCATAAAGAGGACCCCTTCGCTAAAACCAGATGTGCCACCCAAGCCCTCGTTCGTTCCGCAGACGCCTTCAGTCAGACAACTGAACAAATACAGCTACTAAGACTTGCCTATCCTATCAAGCATGTGGGGTGACGTTGCGAGGCGGACTTTAGGACAGAGACTCTCCTGTCGTGAAGAGCAGAGAACCCGCAAGCGGCCAAAGAAGCTGTTTCTCACTCCAGCAGCATCTTGCTTCTCCACAAGCCTGGCCTTGAGCAAGACTCAGCTTGCTAAACAGATCAAAAGGAAGGAAGGTGCTGGCCGTGACATTTCTTTTGTTGGGAGCGGAGGGGACGCATAGCACAATGGGGGGGGACCAGAGACTGCTGTCCAGGGTTGTTCAGAGTACTTGGGGAGGAAAGGGGGAGGAAGAAGATCTGTGAGCAAAAATACTTGAAACTAATAACAATAATAATAAGAATAAAATGGGTTCATTTCTAGACTGCCATAATGTGTAGTCTTCCCATGAAATGTGAACATTTTAATATGTATGCATTTGCCTTGCCTGTTGCACAAATGTCAGAAAATTATGATGTCTCAACAAGTGTGTTGGTTAATAAGCAACTTGCTGAACTTTTGGTCTCTAGTCCAGCTGTAGCAATTTTTGTTCCTCCAAAGGATGACATTTTGTTTATGACAAGATAGAAGAGTGTGTGTGTGCGTGCGTGTATGCGTGAGCACAAGTGCATATGTGTGTGTGTGTGTGTGTGTGTGTGTGTGTGAGAGAGAGAGAGAGAGAGAGAGAGAGAGAGAGCCATAAGAAACGGAGGTCTTCAAACTCATTGCATCTTTTAAGCTATAGAAATGTTTACACAGGCCACGACTGAACAAACCAATGATTTTGATTCAGATTCTTTTGGACTATATGTAGTACGTGAGGGATCTCATGTGGGAAGCTGTGTGCTGTCAGAATTAGGTACTGTTTGCAAAACAGGGCAGAAGGATTCGAAATGCATGCTGCTGTAGAATCAACTTCCTAGATTTCAAATGTAGCACTCATGGATTCCCATGGGTTCCCATCCAGTCCTTCTCACCAGCTTGCTGGCCAGTCTGAGCATGAACTGTTGAAATTCTCCCTGTTCTCCATCAAGATCGAGGCTTCAAGGTGAGCCTCTCCCCACTGGACCCTTTTTGGAAGTCCCCTTCCCCCTCCCCCAAAATGAAATAAGATAAAAGCAGAGAGTTGAGAGGAGCGACCAAAGGACAATAGGACTTTCCCAAGTGTGAAGAGACTCCCAAGAGAACCAAGATGACACATTTGCATTGCCAGCGTTGCTCACCATGTACCTGTCTTCACCTCATGGGAAATAAAGGTGTAATCCCATAGTCCATCTCTTGGCATCAAGTGACATGCACAAAAACAGAAATCAAGGTGGGGTAGAGAAGGAACACTTGCTTCTCCATGGCTCCAGCAACTGCTCACACCATCACAGGGAAGCCCTCTTTCCCTTAGAGAATTTTAGATAGAGAAATTATGTAAGGGATGTCTTTATAAGAAAGAAAGAGAAGCTAAGAAATAATAAGTAATACTGGAACCCCATAATACAGCCATTTCCAGCAGAAAGGAAAAAGCACCAATCGGCATAGTAGGGTCCTTCCATTACATAATTGGCCATCAGCTTGCTTAGCTTGTGTTTTTTCCAAAGTCATGCCGGTAATGACAATATTCTGTAAATAATCTGTGTGCGTTTACCCGGATCTGTGCATTTTGTGCCTTATTCATGAGAATGGTTTTTAAAAATAATACACTACTAACCCCCGTCAAGTGTTTTCAATAACAGTACATCATAATTCCCCGAGTGCCAGCTGAATGTTCTCTCAACAGTATCTGAAAAGATGAAAGAAGCGGTGTGTGTGTGGGTGGGGGGGGGTGATATCCCCACAAGAACAATTAATTAACAATGAAAGTGCTGTCTATAAGCCAAGAAGACAGGAGCATTAAATACGTCTTGCCATGCTAAACATCCCGCCCCTAACTCACTTAAGGATCAAACAGTTATAATGTGAAATCAGATGAGGTTTCTGGGTAATGAAACACCTGCCAGAGTGACACGTAGCTCTGTGTGAATTGCTGCACTATGAATTTGCAGCTGACATTGATCACAGGTGGTGGTCTTAGTCTGGGAATGATGTTGCATCCCTGGTGCTGAACATTCCCACCCCCACGGCCCCCACAGGGGCAATTCAGGAGCCGGTAGGGCAAGGACCTTCAACCCACCTGTGCCCCAAAATAGATTAGCCCCTCCCTCCATCCCTCCCTCCCTCCCTCCTTCCTTAATATCTAGACTCATTCTCCTGTTCCCTTTTGTATGTTGATCATTGAGTATCTACCTTCTGCCCCGTATACACACAACTACCAAGTATCTTTTTTTCGTAAAACATTTCACCATTGCAACTAATAATTTTAAAACAAAAAAGAATCAAATGACAAAACTGAATTAAATTCACTTTACAAATATTAATGAACAATACATACTTGTGTGAAATCGAAACATAAATGTTACGTGAACCCAAATAACTTTCTGTAACATTGTGCTGCCTTGTTAGATGGTAATGTGAGTCCTTTCAGTATTTATGTTGAAATCTCTAACATCCAACATAGTCTTTATTCTGTTAATTTATAATTTTTGTTGGGTTTCGGGGGGCGGGGTTGTTTCTGTTTTTAAAAAAAATGCTTTATCCATTTGTGCAAAGGTAAATGCAGATTGTATCTTTTTTAATGGTACAGCTTAAAAAAGTAACCCTAAAAAAGGAAACCTGCTCTATATGTTCTATAGAGTTCTTTAACATGTATAGATATCTTGTAAACTTGTATTGTGGATGTGTAAATAATACGTCCTTTGGGTTTTTAACACCGCATGTAAATCGAAATAAACTATTCAAAAGTAACAAGCATCTCACATCTCTCTTGATTGTACATATTGGGACCGTGGGCATCCTTGACCAAGAACAGCTGGGCTGAGCCACTGAGGGAAAAGGGATCGTTCATATATGCACGTTGCTAAGTTGGCACCCCGCACGGGCAGGTGGCCCATCCCTTGGCGTGACTAGGATGGTCTTCCCTGGAGGGAAGTCCACTGTGCATCAGAGAGCACCAATCATCTCCAAGAAGCTCCCGAACAGGTGGGCTACCTTTTTGTGTAGCTTGCTGCTGTTTTTCACTGGATTTGAGTCCGTGATAAAAAAATATTTGAGTCTTGCAGTCCATCCTATCTCTGAAGTAGGAGTCAGGTCATCTGCATTTGCCGCTGTATCCTATCACTGTTCGTGCCTGTTTAGACGATGCTGCATGTGCGACCCTCAGATCACAGGTTGTCACTTCATCCCAAGCATCGTGTGCAGCCTGACCGGACAGTTTTGAAGACCTCAACACTCCTCTGTAAAGGAGGGCACAAGGCGGCCCTGCCTATAACTGTTAACATCACAAAATGGATGCATTTCCTTTAAATTAGGCAAAGAAGGGCTTCAGAATTCAATTGGGTTTTCCCCTGAGCAGTGGTACCCAAAGAGCAGTTGTGAAGTCTGTTTTCTCTAGAAACCTGGTCACCTGCAAGGCCCTGAGGGGGCCTGCTTACAGGTACCTTGGTGAGCTGATGCTGCAAGTGAGAAAGATGCTTGCTTTGGGCTCCGGTTCTGGGAGCAGGGCAGAAGTGGGAGGGAGAGTCAAGGGAGGCACAGAAGGGGCTGGGAAAGGGAGGAAATGGGTCCCAACACCTCTTCATTCTAGCCAGCATTCTTCCAATTGGCTGTCCATCTGGAGGCAAAGCTGGATAAAACGGAAAGGCTGAAGGCAATCGACACGCAGCAGTTCATTCTGAATCCCTCCCTGCAGCTGTTCCTGGTATTGCGTTGTGTACATCACATCATCCCCGTGCAGGTCATGCACTGGCAGTTGAAGATGGGCTGGGCAGGGCCCCATAGGCTGCATGGTTGAAGGGCCATGCTTTGTGAGATGCCGCTGAAGGCCTTTGATTGACTTCTCCTCCCATCGCCAGAGCAACCTAGTTGTCCTTCCTATCACTCTGGCCCAGTCAGGGCAGAAAGGTGGAGGAATGGTGGTCGTGGTGGGGGAAGGGGTGAGGAGCAACAGCCCCATGTAGCAATGGTGGGGAACATCGTCTCTCCAATAGAGAGGGCCCATTGAGGATGCTTGCCTGAGGGCCAGAGAAACCCCACAGCACTGGCCTGGCCTTCTATTGAACATCTGAAGACAGATCAGAATGTGTCCAAGGCCCACATCCCGCCTTTCCCAAGCAGCCGAGGATCACTCGCCATAGCCAGCCTAGCAGAATGCCAGGCCGGGGACTGTACAGCTGTCGCCAGCTGTCGTCTGTGTGTGTCCACCCCAGTGGGCCGCTCTCCCGTGCGTGTGTGATTGCAGCTTGCGTCTACTGAAGGAGTGGGAAGCAGCCACACCAGAGGCGCTCTGTTGGGGAGCTGCTTTTGCTGAATTTTTACAAGACACTCCCCCCCACCACACACACACACACAGTTTGGGAAGAAAATACGGTGTACAAGGAGAATGTGCCTCATTTGGGGCCAGAATTGCACTCCCAGGTCCAAGGGCCACGCACCTTCACTTGCCTTGTTCCGTTCAGTCGCAAAGTTGTCCCGACCCATCACGATCCCATGGACAACATTCCTCCAGGGTCTCCTGCTGTCCACCCAAGCCCACGCCCACCACCTCAGTGACCCCATCCAGCCACCTCAACCTCTGCCGTCCCCATCTTCTTTTGTCGTCAATTGTTCCCAGCATCAGGCTCTTCCCCAGGGAGTCCTTCCTTCTCATTAGGTGGCCAAAGTACTTGAGTTTCATCTTCAGTAACTGGCCTTCTAAAGAGCAGTCAGGGTTGCTCTCCTCTAAGATTGACTGATTGGGGTTGCAGGACATTTTTGGTAGGTCAGATGCACAGCTTCTGGTGGGCTCCAGGGGGCAATGCAGCCTCCTGGCCCGTGGGAGTTTCCCACCCTGATCTATTGTGATCCACCTCTTTGGCCCTGCCTTCGCATGGAAACGAGAGGACTTGGAAGGACATAAGTTTTCCTGCAGATATTCAAAGACAGGAAAGCCAAGGTAAAAACTGGAACAGAAGAGAGAGGAGAGGTCACTGTGAATCAGCTCCCACTCAAAGACCTGGAAGCAAGGAGCAGGTCGCAGACACTGGTACAAAAAGCATCTGGTGAAGCTGGCTTGGACCCCCAGGTACCTCCTTCCAGAATGCCAAACAAGCAGAAAGGTGACCCCAAATTGAACAAAAGATGGTTGACATTTGCATGATATTTGGAAGGTGATAATCTATGTCTTGGTGCAAGTATTCAGAATGAATGACCATAATTTTAATAGAAACATATTCATTCATTTATTTGCTCGCTATCCTGGTTTTTTTCTTACAACAAACCTAAAGTGGCTTACATATTCTCCTCCTCCTGCTCTCAACCTTATCCCCACAACCACAACCCTATGAGGTGGGTTGGGCTGAGAGGCTGTGACTTTTCCTGGTCAGTTTCCTTGCAGATTCATCTGCAAATTGGTGAAGAACTGCCAGGAACTAATTACCTGCCTGTCAGGTAAAAAGCACCAGTAAAGAGGGGAAAGCTGTGAAAAGAGGTGCAGGAAAAGGCAATGCAGCCTTCTGGCCAAGTAATCCTCTC